TTTTGATACACGAGTGAGAAATTCTATGCATGTTCTTCTATAACTTGCTTTCAGTGCTCAAAATTATATTGAGGGCATCTTTTTAAGTGAGTATACTTAGATCCACATCATCTTTTCATATAATCCTTAGACAGAGGTATCCCATATACTCTGGTGGACATTTGGGTGCTTCCCCTGATAGCCTCTGTCTCTCTACTTCCTGCATGATCACTGGTTGAACCTCTCCAACAATGGGAAATTTGCTAACTTTTGAGACCATATATATAACCTCTAGACAACAGTGCCTGGGAACTTCTGCTTTTCAGAGCTAGAGGGCCTAGCCATGCTAGAAAGCTCATTTTGAGTTAGTGCCTCAATATTGGGTCACTCCCACCCAGGCCTCTGAAGGCTTCCATCCATTTGAAATGAAGCTGTGTGGAATTGCCTACTGATCTGTAAGCAGAGTTTTGATCATAGCCGCTGGCTGTGGCGATACACGTTTCAACAAGCTACTTGGGGATTTCCAAGATTGTGGGTGCTTCTCCCTGACCTAACTTCTACACGGGAAGATGGCAGCCTTTGACTGAGCAGAAAAACCAGTTTGTGAAACACTTACCCAGGTAACCTATTTAAAAGGAGGTAGCTCTCCATAACTTTGAAGGCAGGTTCAGGCAGAGTGTGGCCATGTGCAAGAGGATACATAAAATCCTTAGGGAGCGAAGCTGATATTCCATAAACACTTTTCTGAAGTCTATGGAGACCAGATCACCCACAAGCTGGGTCTTATTGAATATTGAATAGAAGTCACAGAAGTATGGCTTCTTACATATCAAATGCAACTAATTTTAAAAAGCAGTTGTCCTGAGTTATAAAACCACTTCTCTTGCTTGCTTCATGAGGGGTTTTAAAAAGCAGAGCAAGTCATTGCTTTTAAAAAATTTCTATAGAATTGGGGCTTTAGAGATGATTCTCTGGTAGCTTCTTTATCTTAAAGACCACCAAAGGCCAGTAAAGTTAAATGATTACCCCAAATTCACAAAGCTTGTCAGCAGCAAGCTTAATCTCAAAGGCTTCATATCATAATGCATAATAGTTCATTGCATGGCCACTCTTTCCAGCAACTGTTTTATTTATTTATTTGTATTTACTTACTTGTTTGTCTTGAATGCCATTGGAGGGGTGGAAAATAGGTGGACCAGAACATAAGAGGGGAAGGAAAAAAGAGTTAAAAAAGAAGTCTGGAGAAAGAAAGAAAAACAATAAATTAAGTGGGCTTCTAGTATGAGGAAGGTAAAGAGTGACTAAGAATTGCCCAGGTGCTATGTGTAAGCCCAAGGAGTCAGGCCCTCCTGGGCTGGGCTGAATATTCCTTTTACAACTGACTGTAAGCCTAAGGGAGAACTGGGGCTGACCCACCTACAGCAGATACAGGTGGAGCTTCTCCCAGGTCCTCTGTTCAGGTCTGACACACCTATTCCTGGGCTGGTGTTGATACTGGCTCCTGACCACTCACAGCTGTGTGCATCAGTGGGCATTTCCCTAAGGGAACGGCTCTGTCCACAGCTACAAATCTTCCTAGGAATGCAGAAGACGGAGATATAAAGTCCCAGTCCCTGGACCCAGTTCGTTCTAACTCTGAAGAGATATCTAATTCCAGTACCCCTGGGCTGTAGGCACAGCTATAATTATGTTCACAGGCAGCTTCTCCTGCCTGATCCTGCCAGCTTCACTTCTTTACAGGTGTATCTTTCAACCACTTACCAATAAAGCTTCATTTAAGGTGTTTCCATGTAACTCCAGCTAAGCTACTACCCAGTTCAACACTTTGTACCTCTCTCTCATAATTGGGACTAAAACCCAGGCTCTGTGCCTCATTATCACGTTAACCTAAACCATTCACAACTGCTACACCTCTTTCTATCCCTAAGGCTCTTTTTACATACAACCTGACCTAACCCAACCCCCTACCAAGGTGTGGGATGCTGACCACCACTGTGTTCTATGGGATGACTTTGGTAGCACTGGATGGGCTCGTTTTTACTTTAATTGTTGTTATCTTAGCTTGGGATTTCCCAGAAGCAGACCCTGAGATAGGACACAAGTGAAAACGATTTATTAGCATCCAGGCCAGCTTCTCTGACATGCTACCTATAGAGTCGCACACACCTGTACAGTCACATAGGGCCCCAAACTTGGTTTAATACTCTGCTGTTGCCATCTTGAAATTCTGAATAACTTATGGACATTTTTCTATCTTGTTTTGGGCTTTAAAAATCCCATAGTTTGTCCTGATAAGGATATGTTCCTAGGACATGCTGGTAGGGGAGTAGGAAGTGGAACCCAGAACAGTAAGAAGGGCAGGCAAGAATGAGATACCAAATGATGTGCTATAGGGAGGGGAGAGAATTGGGCCCAATCTCACAGGGAGCTCTGTAAGCAGTGGAAATCCACCCTAGAGTTGTCCCTAGCTGAGGTGAAGGAACCCGATGGAGTATGTGTACCTCCATACTCCCCAGCCCCTGGCTAAAGGCTGGAGTGGGGGTGGAGGATATGAATTCCCAGGCACTTCCAGATGTCCCGTGCACAGGCAAAGTAAATTCTGCATCTGAGGGTAGTGCTCTGACACGATGCAGATGCCAGTGGTGGGAATGAAAGCACCCTGGAGCCAGTATGCAGGAAACTGGAAAAGGATCTGAGGGGATGTGGCAGAGCACTGACTGCAATTGCTGTAATTAGGCATGTACTTCAGTGGGATCCAGGGTAAGAGACTGATGATTGCTTATCAAACCCATGATTTCATGGGTGGAATTATTAATAGCAATAGTAAAAAATGTAAGAAATAACAAAAGTAAGTCCATCAAAAATATAAATTAAAAAATTATATAGGAGGTATGGGGATATGAAGATGAAATGTGAATGGACACATCAACATGGTAGAAAGAACACTGGATCCAGGGCTGTAGGTAAAAGCGCAAAGTCAGGGGCCAGGCAAATTGGTTTGACTCTGCCACATATGGACTGCATGGTTTAAGCTCTCTGTGTCTACCTGCCAGGGTATTAGGAGGAGTAAAAGAGTTAGTACACATAAAAGCATTTAAAGCAACATCTTCTAGGGCAGTGTTAGCTCTTATTATTCCTGCTACTACTAGATCAGTGCTTCTCAAACTATCTATGGTATTTTATTTTCAATCTGTTACAGGCTGATGTTTTTATACAATAATAAATACAAAATGGATAATGTGGAAAATGAAATAAAAAGGACATGTAAAATACAAGGCTATATTTTTAGTTATCAGATTTAACAGGCAGATAATTACTTGGTCAAATGGCTATAAATTTTCAATTTCTCACTCATCTTCAATTTCTACACTTATCCCACTACACATGGGTAACAGTTCCCAGACTGTCACTGTTCTATGGACCATACTTTGAATAGCACTGAATTAGAAAGCCTTCAAAAAGCATTTAAGTTCTTGCTACCTCAGTTTCCAGGTTTTTGCAAGAATGAATGAGATTATGTACATGTAACATTATGTGCTCCAGAAATAGAAATCAGTGGTCGGGTTGTAGGAGTCTATTCTGCAGTCTGCAGACAAAGATACAAACTCCAGTGTGTGACAGTCTCAGTCTCTATTGGCATCAGGCTGTTCTGTTCAGGGTGTATCCTTGGAAATGTGAATGTCTGTGAATCTGTCAAGCATTTCCTACCACTGTGGAAAGAAAGAAAGAAAGGGCTCCCCAGGGTAGGCTGTGGCATACACCCCAACAACTACCACAATCCACAGATTGCTGTGACCACAATCCTGAGGCAAGGTATCCACCATGAACTTTCTCTACCCACAGCTCTTCTCTAGCCTTATCAGATGATTTCACCAAGAAGAATACTTGAGGAGGGATCAGGAGGAAGGTCAAGAGTGAAGACAGTGTCCTCATGCCAGTCCTTGGCTGCTGGCTTCGCTGGGACTCACTTCTCAGTTGATTTCACCCAACACACAGAGAGCCCTCACCAGTGTTTTTAGACTCCATTTCAAGTATGGGCTCTGCCCACACTGGTTCTAAGTTGACCTACTTTGGCCTCAACTGCTCTTTTATCTCCACCTGTCAAATGAGAAAGAGGATACCTAAGGATGTGCAGGATGTCTGTTGAGTTGTTAGATTCCTGTACATCCGTCTTTTTTACTCTTTCTGGACCCTTTCTAGACTCTTCCTGGACTTTTTGATCCCCCTGTCTTCCATGAACTTTAGAGCAATGCTTGGCACAGTAGCAGGTGTTCAATGAATGTTCCTTGAATGGCTATATGTATAGATAGTTTGAAGTCTGTGGAAACAGAAGTGGCTCATCAAACTACTCTACCCTGAATCCATCCAGAAAAGATCAACCAAATCAATTAATTCATTGCACCGAACTCTACCAGGTACTGGGCGTTGGGAAACAATTTCATGGGGGAGAGATGAAGAGGAAGCTCATGATGGGTGGGTGTACTTCAGATGGAACAATCAGCAGTAATAGGTCCATTTTCTGGGAAACGAAATCTCTCCGTGGCCCCAGGGCCCTTTAAATTTTACTGTGACTGTTTTCTTAAGAAATTCCTGGAGCAGAGCCTAACTTTTGTGAAGGGGGTTGGCAGCGAGCATATTCCCGGCCCAGGGGACGGTTGACATAAGGGTTGGCGAGGCGTTAGCACGCGAAGAAACTTCCGAGGAGTTCGAGCAGCCCCGTGGAGGGTCCATAAGGGGCCGGGAATATGGGCGGAGTGGGCGGGGGAGCGGGGTCGTGAGTCCTTGAACCCCAGGGCCTCCGCGAATTGGAAAAGCAAAAAATGCGAATGGCTAAAGCAGCCAGACGTTTGCGGAGCTTGAGCTTCACTGCTCCCGACCTCTCCCCTCTGCCGACCCCGACCAGACACGGGTTCGGCGGCCCAGGTCGGGAGCAGCCAGGGCGGCACGGCCGGAGGCAGGGCCAGGGCCGGAGGAAGGAGCCGCGGCCGCCGCCGCCCCGCCCGTCGGGCTGCCCGCCCCGCCCACCCGGAGCGAGGCGGAGCCGGCGCCCCGGAGGAGCAGGAGGAGGAGGAGGAGAGGTCTGAGCCGTCTCCAGGAGCCCGTAGAGACAGAGTCCCCGGCGGCGGCGGCGGCGGCGCGGCACCGGCAGGCGAGTGAGCACCCGGCGGCGGGTCCCGTCCTCGCGGGGACAGGGGCGCGGCGAGGGGCGTCGGCCGGCCGCCTCGGGGGCCGCCTCGGAGTTCCCGGGCTGGGAAGCGAGATGGAGGGAGGGGACGGAGGAAGGAAGGAGGGAGGGAGGGAGGGAAGGGTGTCCCGGAGGGCGGGGACTGGTCGGGGCGCTGGGCGCCAGAGACCCGATGGGGGAAGGCGGGCGGGGGACTGCGGGACCGGGCGACCGACGGCGCGCTTGCCCTGGACCGCCGGAGGGCGCGGGAAGCCGCGGACCCTGGGCCCGAGGCCGGAGCGCGGGGGAAGGTCCCTCCCGCCCGCTCTCTTGCTCGCCGGCGCGAGGCCGGGCGCCCGGGGCCCGGTTGGGGTTGGAGGCTCCGGTGTTCCTGGCCCTTGCTTGCGGCGGTGCCAAGTTTTGGACTAGGGCCGGCGTCGGGGGGCGACCGGGGCGCCACGCCCCTCTTCCCTACTTTCTTCCGCTCTTTCTTGGAACTGGCGGCCGGGTGCGCAGCCCTGGGACGGGCTCGGCGCTGGGGGTCTAGCGGGGAAATAGTGGGTCTCTGAGAGGAGGACCCAGATCCCATCCCGCGAGCGGCCCGGGCCAGTTAGTGACCCGGAGACTGTATTTGCAGGTGGTATGGGGACGTTAAGGCTCAGACTTGAGTCTTGCGTGATTTTGTTTAAAAGTAGTGCCCGGACACTTACTGTATATAAGACTGACTTCCTTTATTTTATTTTTAACTAAGGCATATCAATTAAAGGTAATTTTAACACGCTGTTACTAAGGTCTCCTGACATTCACTCGCCCCTCGCCTTATGTTTGTGTCTTGTAAAATTGACTTAAACCATTCATAAGTTTCGAAAAAGAACTCGTGATTCTCTTTAAATCATCGCCGTGGAGTGAAACCCTGGACAACTTGAAATCTAAACAGAAGAGCTGATGAGGCCTGTCAGCCTGTGGCCGCCCCTCTCGGGGCGTCGTTGTATACAAACAAGGGTATAGAGAAGGAAATGAGTAAAACCCGGAGAGAAGGGAGGTCCCCTGCGCCCACGTGTCAGGGCACGTTTAATGGCTGCTCCGAGTGGAAACAAACCGGGAATTTATAGACCTTGTGGAGTTGGACAAACTTCACATGATGAGCTTCCTTCCCATCAGTTATTTCCTCTCCTCCCCTGCTGTCTTTGCGGACACTGTTTACATTTCCTGGGGCTGTTGTAGCTTCATCTGAATAGATTGTCTATAATGAATCTTTTGGATGTTGTCAGAGACAGGGTCTGTGTCTGTGTGTTCTCTAAAAGCGGAGTTTGGCTTTGTTTTTAAAGTGCTAGTCACCAGACTTCACCATTGCCGGTGCTTCTCAGCTCTCGGTGTAAATTATTGCAGGAAGGCGGCCCTCACTCACCTAGGAGAACCAGGAAGGCAGGCGGCCCAAGAATGACAGGGTTGGGATTTACTGTTGCCAAAACAATCACATTCAAGTGCAGAACTAGTTCGGTTTAAAAAAAAATGTATGTATTAACAAGACCCTTTTTCAATAGACAAACATAACGATTCACACATATGTAATTTTTTAAAAGTAACCAGATGTTTTACAGACTCTTGAATGATAAAAGGACTTTGGGATCAAATAAACAGTCCCTTGGCCTTCCCTAACAGTTAATTAGCATTATAAAACCCTGGTTTAAGTCCAAAAAATGCTGAACAGTCTAATGACTGCGCCTTTAGATTTTATAAAAAATGCAGTGGTATTTTTACTGTGTTTAACCCAGGTAATTCATTAGGTATTGATACTGGACAGCTTTTAGGTTTGTGTAGAAATATGTAAATAGGTGAATCTGTGTTTCACCAGAGACTGAAAAGATTAATACTATAAAAATTCTCCGTTTAGCAAGGTCCAGTCTCATCTGAAAAGACTTGCTCTCTAACAATGAGATTTGTGGTGTTGGGCTCGTGTTGGCACTTGTTGAAGCACAGGGGTCATTTGTCAGGTTGTGACAGTGAAGCGCTTCATAGTCAAAACACTTGAGAAAATGATTAGCTAATGCCAGATTAGTTTTTGTTTATGTTGAAACTCTCTGAGAGAAAAAAAATTCAAATTTAGAATTATGTCATTTACTGGGTTGGATTTGTATTGGGTGTTTTAAGTTTTTTTTTCTAACATGTCAGCTTAAGCTTAATTTAGGGATGTGGAAGGCAAATACATTTTTCTGAGGCCTGATTTGGAAAAGAAGCAGTTTAACAGTGGTTTGGGTTGTGGGTTTTAGTATGAGACAAACGTGTATGGGAATATTAATTATTTAACCTTTTTCAGTCTGACATGTGAAATGGGGATGATAGTGGTCTCTATCTTGAGGGTTTTTATCAAAGCATATGAATTTATCTTTGGAAAACACTTTGCAGCTAACAGACAGTTAATTTCAAAATTATTAGGTATTTTGCTTATCTACCTTACTCTAGCAGCAGGCTATTGGATAAATTGCAAGGTGGCAGTTTGAACCTCCTGGAAATGCTAGACAGAGCAATTTTAACTTTCAAAGAAGTTACCTGATTTTATAGATAGATAGTAGATATCTATCTATAAAATATTTGTGTACATATGTAATGTTTCTACCACAGTTATGTGAATAATTATGATTAATGTTGTGACAGTTTTAATATGCTTTTGATGCTGAAGTTACAGTCATGCAGTATTTTTAGAGCCAGGAAGTCAGAACATCTTATTAATCATATTTTAAACTTAAAGAGAATTTATATTTTAAGTTGTGTTTATTAGCCCTGGGTAGGAAATTAAACCAGGAACAGAAGTATTTATCATTAACCAAGTATGATTTTTAATTAAAGTATGAAAAAATGTGACCCAAGGGTATCCATTTATTTACTTTTTCTTGTACTGATGTCCAATGCCAACAGATAAGCCGTAAGAAGTATTTAGGACTGATTGGATGCATTTCATAAATGTTTTGTAAAAGCATTGTGACCGTAAAAAGGGTGTTCAGTTAATTCAGGTAATCTACTCATCACATCATTGGATCATTTGCAGAAATTTTTAAATGCTTCCATCTTTAAAACAAACCCCTTTAAGCGCCTGTTTCTTCTTAGTGCATGTCAGGTGCACAGGACTGGGTGGATAGGAATGGTAGCTCATGCCACAGGTGACTTCTCATTTTACTAATTGTTCCACAGGGACACAGAGGTGGTGCGTTATAATATTTTTGAATAGCTGTAAAGGATACAGTGCTTTTATGAATTGTTTCTTGCCTATGACATTATACTCTGAAGCAGTGGAGGACTTGATTGAATAAATTATTGATTCTTTTCACTCTTAGAACATGATAGCATGGTGATGGATTCCTGGCTCATGCCTCTAAGTGTGTAGAATGTGGGCAAGTTAATTATCTCTCTGCTTCTGAGAGGTGTTGGGAGGAATAAATGAATTAACCTATCTAAAGCATTTAGAACAGTGTGGGGCACATATTCTATGTTCAATAAATATTAACACTAATTATTACTTACTGAAATTTTCTCTTTTTAAGTGTTACATATGAGTGGTTTTTATTTTTGTAGCAGGAAAACAACTATATGAAATTGTAATGTTTCCCCAAAATGTAAAAATCTTAGTAATTTAAAAAGTCCTGCCAAGCAGTGCTTATGATGTAAGACAATATAATTAGGCAGTTGACATTGCATCTTTTAAATGCAAAATAGATAGCAACGTTAATTTGTTCAACAAATCAATTCTCTTATTTTCCTGTTAGAACTGAAAAAAAATTCGTAATCCATGAAGATCACATTATGATAGGTTGAGTAGGGGAAGGGCAGTGCACACAGTTATAGCACATTATTTTACAGTTACAACTAGGTTAAAAAATATTATGCATAGTAAAGAAAGTCTAGAAGTAAGTACAGATGGATGGTGGAATTATGGTGCTTTCCCCACTTTCTCTCCCCATTTTCCCCAATGAACATGCATATATAATAAAAATAATCCATTTGTATGACAGTTAAACTCAGTGAAAGCTCTGGTTTGCTAGCTACAAATGGCAGGATTTTGTTGTTTTAGAAAAACGCCACCTGGCATAGCAGTTGAAGAGGTCTGTAAGTTAAAAGTCAAAAACCTTTGTAGTGAAAATTGTTTAGCAGTAAAAGAAAGGCCTTTTCAGAAGTTTGTAGCTTTCTCTTCATAAGAGATGTTTAAAATTGGGGTTTACATACAAACCAAGGCCACCAAGTTGACTTTATGGAAGTTGTCACTTCCCAGATCCAGGCCCTGCATTGAGGCTAGCTATGTGCGTACAACACCTTCAGCTGCCAGATGCCTCCCTCATGAGGAAGACATAAGCACACTTAGTTTAACAGAGAAGTTAGATAAACCACAGCACAATTGTGACTCCATTTATTGAGCTGGTCTACATTGTGGGCGCAGGTCTAAGCCCTTTACATAGTAAGATCTTGCTCAGTCCTCACAACAGCACAGATGAGGAACCTGAGGGTCCCTAAGTGGCAAGACCAGAATTTGACCCAGAGTTGCTGACACTGCATCCCACTCAGTAAGCACTCTGCTAAGAGCTGCAGTGGAGATGCTTCGCTGAAAGGTGGGGAGGGCTTTCTGGGGGAGTTCTGTTCAGAAGCTATAAATCAAACCAAGAGAAACAGGAGGAGAGTTCTCCTTTCAGGTGTGAGGTGACCCACCTGAGAACTACCAGTGCCTTTCCACTGAGCTCAGCCCTCTTCAGCTATAGAAACTGAAGCTTCCAAAATGGCCTCAGAAACCCAGCAGGCCTGAAGTGATCTGCTCAGTCGACCTCTGCCTTCTCTGCATTCCCAAAGAGGGCCTTCAGAGTACAGATGAAGGAACTAGGCTGCTGTGTCCTGTTCTACAGCCAGCTTAATCCAACAGGTCCTGTCCTCTCCACTTTTCCTCTCTGAGGAGTATGAAAGAAAAGTACTGAGCAAGGGGCCTCGAATCCAGGGCAGAGTGGAGGT